TACAAATTCAATTTCGTAAGCATGGAGGTCAATTTAAAAGTTAAATACTTTTAAAAAAGTATGAATCGTAGCCCTTGTTTAATTTATGTCTTAACAAATAATATAAAGGCCGCCTTATTTTATAATTTAATACTACAAATTAAACATATTTATGTATAGATAATTAGAAAAATAGTTTTATAATTATTATGCACTACATTTTCCGATTTGTTTACAAATCCTTTTTAAAGAATAGAATATAATAAGTACACAATACTGTAGAGTTCATACATTAAATGTACTTTTTGTTTTTGAAATTATAAACATGGTAGACTAATTAAAAATACCAGCTCTGCTTTATCTTAATTCTTCAAAATCATTTCGCTTCGAGGAAAAAAACACGGTAAAACACCGTTTTCCCAAAACACCAGTTAAAAAATAAAGGCATAGGGCAGAGTTAATGTAAATTATTTTGTGTCGATATGTGACAATTAATTGGGAATAAAGACAAATGGGGGCTTTTATAATAAGGCTTTACAGCTTTAAATATCGAAATAGACAGAATAGTGAAGCTTAATTACGTCTTAATTATGTCTTAAGTTGTAATTGTATCCCGCATTAGCCTTTCTCTTTTTAAAAATATTTAGTTTGAACCATGAATTTTTATCATGAGCCATCAACTTTTGCAGTCAGTAAAGTACTCTCTCTTCTCTTTTTTTCTTAATTATACAGCTGGTCTAGTATATTAAAATTATTTTTTTGTAAAAAATAACGAATTAATCTATTCAACATGTATCAAGTCTCATTTGTGTGATCACCATAACTCAGTTTAGGTTAACTCAGTTTAGCTCAGTTTAGCTCTCCATAACTCAGTTTAGCTCTTTATTCTATTTAGTGATTAAGGGAATGTAAGGTGGACTCTAGACCTAAAGGCTAAAGAGCACTTTGTTTCATACTTCCGCTATTATTATTTTCCCAGTAAACATATTTGTAATGTTTAGATTATTTATTTATCCGCCCATTAATGTTAATTATATAACTATTTCCATTCTTCCCATTAAATGTAGTTAGGCCTAACACTTACATATATTATTTCCATCATTAATGTAATATGTATTTCCCATGTGAATAAATGCGCTTATAGAACTGAGCGGTAATATCATGCTTCGGCAAGCCTGAGGACCTGATCAACCCTCAGAGTTTGTACGATTAAGGTGAAGGGTAACCCAGACTTAAGTCTTACTAAATAGCCCAAATGGAAAGGCCCTAGCCAGCACGCTCCAATTGGCGTGCTGTGTTTCTGGAATAAAGTGAACGTATGCAAATTTTTGAACGGTAAGTAAGACCGTTCGGTAAACGGTAAGCAAGACCCGCCATTTTTTTATTTTCTAAAATTTGTATGAATATATCATCTGCACACTGTCTAACTAAAAATTTTAAAAATTCAATAAATCCTTTGCCTATCCACATATCAACGCTTGTGGGCAACTGCCTATGCGCATGTCAATATGATTGATTCCCCAAAATTATCTATACAACATCTTTAAAGCACCGCTCGGAAAGCAATAAACAGATGTCGAAATCTCTTTCAAATTTATTCCCACATGTACATTATTTATTTTTATGTTTTTTGCACTTTTATATTGTTTCTTTCAAGCAATATTAAATGTAACACCGTTTTGATTTCTGAAACATTCTACGACAAGCATCTTTCTGTATATAAACTTGAATATGTTCGAGACTAGTTATTACATAGCCCATAAATTATTAGCTTTATTCATTTACAAAAGAAAATACCGGAAATCACAAATAGCTCAAAAGTCGGAAAACGGAAATCAACCTAAATTGTTGGAAGGTAATATAGAGGATGCCAAATTTAAAGGGTTTAAAAGAGATATTGTCGGGTTTGGGTGATTAGAAGAGATATCAGAGGATTAAGAATTAATAGGGTTATTTGAAATCAGCCAACAATTTAGGCTGATTTCCGGGTTCCGACTTTTGAGCTATTTGTGATTTCGGTATTCGCCATTTTCGACCCATCTCTGTATATAACACATTCAAGAACTTTTTTTTTAATGAATGAAGCTAATAATTCACGGGCTATGTAATAACTAGTCTCGAACATATTCAAGTTTATATACAGAAAGATGCTTGTCGTAGAATGTTTCAGAAATCAAAACGGTGTTACATTTAATATTGCTTGAAAGAAACAATATAAAAGTGCAAAAAAACATAAAAATAAATAACGAACAGAGGGAATAAATTTGAAAGAGATTTCGACATCTGTTTATTGCTTTCCGAGCGGTGCTTTAAAGATGTTGTATAGATAATTTTGGGGAATCAATCATATTGACATGCGCATAGGCAGTTGCCTACAAGCGTTGATATGTGGATAGGCAAAAAATTTATTGAATTTTTAAAATTTTTAGTTAGACAGTGTGCAGATACATTCATACAAATTTTAGAGAAATAAAAAATGGCGGGTCTTGCTTACCGTTTAATGCTAATCGAGAGTTGTTGATGCATTCGCTGTTGCATCTTTTCCTGCTTTAAAACTTTATAAAGTTGTAAAATTACTCAAAATTCGTTTATTAACTAAAATAAATTTTTTATCAGATCAAGTAAGTGTAATTGCCTCAATCCGCGACATTAAGCGGATTTTTGTTTTCAAATAAAAAAAATTGCTAAACAAACAACTTAAAATTCAGCTTTTAGTTGTCTATAAACAACTTATGTGGGCATAATTTCGAAAGAAATTTTACTGTTGCCACTTAATGTTATATACAGGGGGTTGGGGGGGGGGTGTGTAGCGAGCATAGAGAAAAATTTACGGGAATCATATGAAATCTATAGAAAGGGCATCGTTAATATTTATTAAATTTTTCAAAATTTCGAAATTAGACAGTGTTAACAGTTAGAGAAAATAAAAATTGTGTATATGCAGATATGCGTTTATTGACAATTAAGAGTTAATGATGCATCTGGCATCGCACGAGTCCTCCCTAAGGCCTTTATTTAATTTGAAAAATTACAAACATAGAGGCATTCATTTAAATTTCTTATACATTTTTTATTAAAAATTCTAAAAATTAATTTTTATTGCCGTTTAAAAATTAAATTTTCCGTGTAAATTAAAGCTGTTATAAATTTTCATTGATGTTGAAATTTAAATTCAAACGTTGAATTTTGAATTTTTATTGCCGTTGATTTTTTAAAATTTAATTGCATATATAAGTAGGGATGGGATTTATATGGATTTCCATATTTTTTCCTGAACTCGTTGGGTTCTGGTGATAAGGCCGTTTTTGAGTTATCAATCCAAATTTCCATATTTTATCCATATTTCGTCATTTTTTGTAAAATTTTGCCAAAATTGGTTAAAATTTTCAAATTTATGAAATTTTATGTCAAAAAATTTTCATAAAAAATTTTTTGAAAAAATTTTTTCGAGAAATTTTTGAAAATTTTTTATAAAAATTTAACAAAAATTTTTCAAAAAATTATCGACTCAAATATTAATAAAATAATCACTATTAATTGGTTTATTTGTATAAGTAATATTGTGCATTAAAATTAACTTAATTAACATTTTCTGCTTAAAAATAAAATTTTTTCGTTAAAAATTTTTAGTTTTCGGCCCATATTTGATCCATATTTTGGATTTTAACGATCAGTGGTGTTGGTTTTGTGTTTTTTATTTTTGAAAATCTTTATTGATAAACTTTTTAGAATTTTTTTATAAATTTTAGATAGAAATGTTGATTTTAATATTTCTTCTTATTTTTGTCGATATACAAAAAGGTAATTTTTAGGGCTGTCGTTAGTAGTGTTGTTTAGAGATCGGCACAGGACAGGATCCCGCACGGGATTTTTCAGGATCCTGTCTGAAATCCTGCCTTTTTTTCGGTTTTCAGGATTCCAGGATTTTCAGGATTAATCCTGCAGGATCCTGTCCTGTACGAAATTTTAAAACCCAATCCTGATAATGGATCCTGCAAGTGCGATTTTACCGATCTCTAGTGTTGTTGTTTCAACAAATTTTTGGTTATCTTGAACCGAAAATCTTTCTTTCAGTTCATTTCAGATTGAAACCGATAACAATAAAAATTGGCCTTATCCGGCCGATGCATTTGATCTTAATTTCGTTTTGGGTGGAAGTTCTGAGTTAATCCGATACCTGCTTTTTGAATACAACCTCATGGTTTTGGAATACTTTTTTCCCAACTGCCTCTTGCGCCTGACCCTAATTATGATTAGTTTAAATTTAGTTAAAAATAGAGAAAAATATGCATAATAAAGCTTTTCATATAATAAAACTTTTGGCCTATATTTTTTAAGTGTTTAAAACAATGCCCTATTTTTTGCCCTGTTTTTGACTCGCTTCGCCCTATTTTGGTGTTTTGGAAAGGTAACCCTGATACAACCTCAACAAAAGATTCGAAATAATTTTTAAAGATAATTGTTATATATTTTTAGCTTTTTCTGTTGAAATCAATGGAAATGATGTTTTGAAAATGGCACAATGCTACATGGATGCGTTTTACCAAAAACCTTCGATTCCTCGTAATTTAAAAATTATTAGTGAAATATGTGTTTAAATTTAAGGTGATGATGTTATTCCACTTGATGAAGCTATGAATCCACATTTAGCTTTTTCTAAAAGCATTGACCTTTGTTTAGAGGACATTGAAGCTATTGTAATTTAATTTGAAGTTTAAATTAAGTAATAAATAGGGCTATATGGCGACCGGTTAATTTTGTCCTTAAAAATCAAACAAAATTTTCAACACCTCAAAGTAAAAAACCTGACGTCGAAGGATCATTGCGATACACTATGTTAGACTAATTTATCTGATTTCATAATTTAGGCAAATTTGCATGCTAGTTTATTTGAAGAATCGGGTTTAAATCAATGGCGAGACGAATCTCTTGAAAAATTGCAAACTGAATATGTTACCGAAATTAAGGAATATGCTAATCTTTCGAAGACCGGAGAAACATTGAGAGGATGGATTAACCTGATGAATTTTAGTGTTACGAGACGAATAATTATCAATTGGCGATCAGCTAATAATGATAAAATGAGGGCAGAATTCGTTAAACAACATAATGTCGGAACATATGATGAAATTAATAGTGAACGAGACCCGGAACGAAAGAAAGAGATGATAGACGGCTATGTTAATCAAAATCGGAGTGAATACAAAGCATGGGGCGGGTTGAAGAATGAAAATATTGAGGAGTTTAAAAACATGTTTCTTAATGATATGGACCATAAATACAATAGTTGGCGACGCAAACTCAGCCCTTTTTCTTTGTTGCTAAATTCGGCTTATTTGAAATTTGCCGAAGTTCTTATTGAAAAGCTTGGGAAGAAGGTAAAATTGAATAATTCTAATATCATTATAAATTCGAGTAAGATACAGACCAGGGTTGCCGCGGGTACAAAAAATCTTCGGGTACGGGTTTCGGGTATCGGGCTGGAGCGTTTTCATTTTGGGTCACGGGTTTCGGGTTGACAAAAATATCGGGTACGGGTTTCGGGTTATAAAATTTTCATTTCGGGTATCGGGTTTCGGGTACAAAAAAAGGTCGGGTTTCGGGTACCCTGATACAGACATTAGTGCTAGTATAAGTCTTAAATTCTTTCTTGAATAAAATTTTTCCGAATCATTTTAGACAATAAACTAGCATGCAAATTTGCCTAAATTATGAAATCAGATAAATTAGTCTAACATAGTGTATCGCAATGATCCTTCGACGTCAGGTTTTTTACTTTGAGGTGTTGAAAATTTTGTTTGATTTTTAAGGACAAAATTAACCGGTCGCCATATAGCCCTATTTATTACTTAATTTAAACTTCAAATTAAATTACAATAGCTTCAATGTCCTCTAAACAAAGGTCAATGCTTTTAGAAAAAGCTAAATGTGGATTCATAGCTTCATCAAGTGGAATAACATCATCACCTTAAATTTAAACACATATTTCACTAATAATTTTTAAATTACGAGGAATCGAAGGTTTTTGGTAAAACGCATCCATGTAGCATTGTGCCATTTTCAAAACATCATTTCCATTGATTTCAACAGAAAAAGCTAAAAATATATAACAATTATCTTTAAAAATTATTTCGAATCTTTTGTTGAGGTTGTATCAGGGTTACCTTTCCAAAACACCAAAATAGGGCGAAGCGAGTCAAAAACAGGGCAAAAAATAGGGCATTGTTTTAAACACTTAAAAAATATAGGCCAAAAGTTTTATTATATGAAAAGCTTTATTATGCATATTTTTCTCTATTTTTAACTAAATTTAAACTAATCATAATTAGGGTCAGGCGCAAGAGGCAGTTGGGAAAAAAGTATTCCAAAACCATGAGGTTGTATTCAAAAAGCAGGTATCGGATTAACTCAGAACTTCCACCCAAAACGAAATTAAGATCAAATGCATCGGCCGGATAAGGCCAATTTTTATTGTTATCGGTTTCAATCTGAAATGAACTGAAAGAAAGATTTTCGGTTCAAGATAACCAAAAATTTGTTGAAACAACAACACTAGAGATCGGTAAAATCGCACTTGCAGGATCCATTATCAGGATTGGGTTTTAAAATTTCGTACAGGACAGGATCCTGCAGGATTAATCCTGAAAATCCTGGAATCCTGAAAACCGAAAAAAAGGCAGGATTTCAGACAGGATCCTGAAAAATCCCGTGCGGGATCCTGTCCTGTGCCGATCTCTAAACAACACTACTAACGACAGCCCTAAAAATTACCTTTTTGTATATCGACAAAAATAAGAAGAAATATTAAAATCAACATCATTTAAATTTCTTATACATTTTTTATTAAAAATTCTAAAAATTAATTTTTATTGCCGTTTAAAAATTAAATTTTCCGTGTAAATTAAAGCTGTTATAAATTTTCATTGATGTTGAAATTTAAATTCAAACGTTGAATTTTGAATTTTTATTGCCGTTGATTTTTTAAAATTTAATTGCATATATAAGTAGGGATGGGATTTATATGGATTTCCATATTTTTTCCTGAACTCGTTGGGTTCTGGTGATAAGGCCGTTTTTGAGTTATCAATCCAAATTTCCATATTTTATCCATATTTCGTCATTTTTTGTAAAATTTTGCCAAAATTGGTTAAAATTTTCAAATTTATGAAATTTTATGTCAAAAAATTTTCATAAAAAATTTTTTGAAAAAATTTTTTCGAGAAATTTTTGAAAATTTTTTATAAAAATTTAACAAAAATTTTTCAAAAAATTATCGACTCAAATATTAATAAAATAATCACTATTAATTGGTTTATTTGTATAAGTAATATTGTGCATTAAAATTAACTTAATTAACATTTTCTGCTTAAAAATAAAATTTTTTCGTTAAAAATTTTTAGTTTTCGGCCCATATTTGATCCATATTTTGGATTTTAACGATCAGTGGTGTTGGTTTTGTGTTTTTTATTTTTGAAAATCTTTATTGATAAACTTTTTAGAATTTTTTTATAAATTTTAGATAGAAATGTTGATTTTAATATTTCTTCTTATTTTTGTCGATATACAAAAAGGTAATTTTTAGGGCTGTCGTTAGTAGTGTTGTTTAGAGATCGGCACAGGACAGGATCCCGCACGGGATTTTTCAGGATCCTGTCTGAAATCCTGCCTTTTTTTCGGTTTTCAGGATTCCAGGATTTTCAGGATTAATCCTGCAGGATCCTGTCCTGTACGAAATTTTAAAACCCAATCCTGATAATGGATCCTGCAAGTGCGATTTTACCGATCTCTAGTGTTGTTGTTTCAACAAATTTTTGGTTATCTTGAACCGAAAATCTTTCTTTCAGTTCATTTCAGATTGAAACCGATAACAATAAAAATTGGCCTTATCCGGCCGATGCATTTGATCTTAATTTCGTTTTGGGTGGAAGTTCTGAGTTAATCCGATACCTGCTTTTTGAATACAACCTCATGGTTTTGGAATACTTTTTTCCCAACTGCCTCTTGCGCCTGACCCTAATTATGATTAGTTTAAATTTAGTTAAAAATAGAGAAAAATATGCATAATAAAGCTTTTCATATAATAAAACTTTTGGCCTATATTTTTTAAGTGTTTAAAACAATGCCCTATTTTTTGCCCTGTTTTTGACTCGCTTCGCCCTATTTTGGTGTTTTGGAAAGGTAACCCTGATACAACCTCAACAAAAGATTCGAAATAATTTTTAAAGATAATTGTTATATATTTTTAGCTTTTTCTGTTGAAATCAATGGAAATGATGTTTTGAAAATGGCACAATGCTACATGGATGCGTTTTACCAAAAACCTTCGATTCCTCGTAATTTAAAAATTATTAGTGAAATATGTGTTTAAATTTAAGGTGATGATGTTATTCCACTTGATGAAGCTATGAATCCACATTTAGCTTTTTCTAAAAGCATTGACCTTTGTTTAGAGGACATTGAAGCTATTGTAATTTAATTTGAAGTTTAAATTAAGTAATAAATAGGGCTATATGGCGACCGGTTAATTTTGTCCTTAAAAATCAAACAAAATTTTCAACACCTCAAAGTAAAAAACCTGACGTCGAAGGATCATTGCGATACACTATGTTAGACTAATTTATCTGATTTCATAATTTAGGCAAATTTGCATGCTAGTTTATTGTCTAAAATGATTCGGAAAAATTTTATTCAAGAAAGAATTTAAGACTTATACTAGCACTAATGTCTGTATCAGGGTACCCGAAACCCGACCTTTTTTTGTACCCGAAACCCGATACCCGAAATGAAAATTTTATAACCCGAAACCCGTACCCGATATTTTTGTCAACCCGAAACCCGTGACCCAAAATGAAAACGCTCCAGCCCGATACCCGAAACCCGTACCCGAAGATTTTTTGTACCCGCGGCAACCCTGGTCTGTATCTTACTCGAATTTATAATGATATTAGAATTATTCAATTTTACCTTCTTCCCAAGCTTTTCAATAAGAACTTCGGCAAATTTCAAATAAGCCGAATTTAGCAACAAAGAAAAAGGGCTGAGTTTGCGTCGCCAACTATTGTATTTATGGTCCATATCATTAAGAAACATGTTTTTAAACTCCTCAATATTTTCATTCTTCAACCCGCCCCATGCTTTGTATTCACTCCGATTTTGATTAACATAGCCGTCTATCATCTCTTTCTTTCGTTCCGGGTCTCGTTCACTATTAATTTCATCATATGTTCCGACATTATGTTGTTTAACGAATTCTGCCCTCATTTTATCATTATTAGCTGATCGCCAATTGATAATTATTCGTCTCGTAACACTAAAATTCATCAGGTTAATCCATCCTCTCAATGTTTCTCCGGTCTTCGAAAGATTAGCATATTCCTTAATTTCGGTAACATATTCAGTTTGCAATTTTTCAAGAGATTCGTCTCGCCATTGATTTAAACCCGATTCTTCAAATAAACTAGCATGCAAATTTGCCTAAATTATGAAATCAGATAAATTAGTCTAACATAGTGTATCGCAATGATCCTTCGACGTCAGGTTTTTTACTTTGAGGTGTTGAAAATTTTGTTTGATTTTTAAGGACAAAATTAACCGGTCGCCATATAGCCCTATTTATTACTTAATTTAAACTTCAAATTAAATTACAATAGCTTCAATGTCCTCTAAACAAAGGTCAATGCTTTTAGAAAAAGCTAAATGTGGATTCATAGCTTCATCAAGTGGAATAACATCATCACCTTAAATTTAAACACATATTTCACTAATAATTTTTAAATTACGAGGAATCGAAGGTTTTTGGTAAAACGCATCCATGTAGCATTGTGCCATTTTCAAAACATCATTTCCATTGATTTCAACAGAAAAAGCTAAAAATATATAACAATTATCTTTAAAAATTATTTCGAATCTTTTGTTGAGGTTGTATCAGGGTTACCTTTCCAAAACACCAAAATAGGGCGAAGCGAGTCAAAAACAGGGCAAAAAATAGGGCATTGTTTTAAACACTTAAAAAATATAGGCCAAAAGTTTTATTATATGAAAAGCTTTATTATGCATATTTTTCTCTATTTTTAACTAAATTTAAACTAATCATAATTAGGGTCAGGCGCAAGAGGCAGTTGGGAAAAAAGTATTCCAAAACCATGAGGTTGTATTCAAAAAGCAGGTATCGGCGCACAGCTGCTACCATCCAAAACCCATCATAAATATAAAAATTTTATTAGCCACTCTATCATTCTAAAAGAACTTACACATTATTCAAGACTTTAGCTCTTTCTTCACCTGTCTCATTCAAAGGGGAATTGTCAAAATTATAAAGTCTTCCTTTATATTTATATTGTTGTTTCGGAGTATTTTTAACTGCATTTTTTAAATCTTTATCATTATCAAGTCTTTCTCCATGTCGAACAAACCAGATAACACGTTTTACTTGTGGAAATTGCGGAACAGCTTCCTTTATTGCTAAATAAAATGAAGACTTATTAGGGTTAACCGAACATCGCCGAGGACCAAGGCTAAA